TCATGATTGGGATCAACGACGCTCTCATGCGTGGTCTTCGTTTCACAACATCCATACAAGTAGAACATGGTGACCTGGCATATGATTCTATATTCACCCCAAAGAAACCAAAACGGCCCGGTCCTGCAAGACATCCTTCTGTGAAACACTTCTCATGGCCTCCACGATGGCCACAGATGGTGAGGATGGCGCTTCATCACGAGCAGGTGAATCATCCTGGCCGGTCGGGGGGCGACATCCTTCACGACACAACCGATATCGTCCACGACTCGAAAGAAAGCCATTAAAGCGACTCTGAAAAGCGGAATGAACCGAACCTGCCTGAAAGAAAGGGGATGTAATGATGTGACTGCTTTGAAAGTCGAAACTAACATGCAAACTGGCAAACCACAATCTTCCAAACCAAAACCAGATCTGGTACTTCCATGCTAGCTGCTAGTTCAGGAACTCATGACTATCAGTAGCATACTTGAATTGGTCCTTCTTTGAGGAACGATCCACGTTTTTCCCCTCGCTCCACACCGCCCAGCGCTCAGCCCGGCCGCCGGCCTCGGCGTCCCCTCGAGCGCCGCGGCCGCCACCGGCGTCGACGTGCGACGCCGCCTGTGGCGTGGAAGGTGAAGTGGATGGGCCCCGGAAGGCTCGGGCGTGGAGGAGGGGAGTGCATCTCCCAAAAAGAAGATGTGTAAAAACATTATATATCAGAAAAATGAGATCAAAAAGAAAGCTCCTAATGTTTTCCTTGGATCAATAAAGTACCCCAGAATAGTGACCTTTTTTCCTGCACAGATTAATAAAGGCCCCCAGAATAATGTCTTTTTTTTTTGGGAGGGGTAGTTGTAGTGAGATATTTGTTATTGTTATAGTTTACTTTTTCCCTTCTGAGTATTGCCAGAGTAGCTCCAGAGGTAGCTAGCTAAGGATTCCTTATGTATTTATCAATTGATTGTTTTTCTATCATATTGTTCTGGAGTCTCAATTGTTGGAGGGGGGGGGGCCGGTGGGGGGGGGTTATTAATCAAGAGTCAACATTACTGTTGGACCTTGGCTTCACTTCTTATCGTTTCAGCGGAACCCAACCCAAAAAGCCGTGCTTCGAGGATGAAACACCTGACCTCATCAAAGGCGGCCATCAGCTGCTCCAAGGCCCTAGCAGCTGCCTGACCAAGAAAGACCACTGGCGATACCTGTCCTCAAGATGATAGAGATCCAAAGGCCTAGTCTAGTACAATAAGATAAGAACTGGGAAGTAGAAGTAGAAGTTGTAGAAGTGATACTAGTTACTGGTTGTTGTTGCCGTTCTGGAAAAAATCACACAAACAGAAGTAAAATCAAGGCCTCCGTCAGAGCAGCTTGCCCACCCCTCCGGGCGCCAGCCAAGTCCGCCCTGCCAACACATGTGACTCGTTGCCCGCGCTGCGCCACCGCACCCGTGCAGACGACGGCCGCATCGCATCCGTTCCACCTCGCGGCGGCCACGGCCTCTGCCGCTGACAGGACTTTGCCACGCAGAACCGACAGCCTGACGAGGGCGAACGTAGCGATGGCTTCTAAGCTACTAGCGATGGCCTCCACCCTAATGTAGACTCTTGATTCATAAACCCCCTTTTGAAGAGGAGGTTGATAATCCAGATAGTTATGAGTTTCATGTTCTAGCCACCGGCCACTGTCCAGGGCATCAAACCATTACAGTAACCGTTCCGAACTGTACGCGCTTTTGATCGCAGTTGAGCAGATGTTCGGCACATCCTCCACAGCCAAAGCGACCTTTACTACGGTTTCTCAGTTCGTTATCAACCAAGTATATAGATAGTATCGTACAGGGCACATATTTACACACACACCACATAAGAAAGCCCACGGGGATTTGGTCAAAAGGTTAGCAGTTTTGTGGGATTCAACCCAGTTTCAGATCGTTAAAATTGCCTCCCATATGGATATTCGCTGTGAAAAAAATACATCCGAAGCATGGCATATTGAAGGTAATGACCATGCCGACCGGGCTGCTGGCTCAGCCCGCAAAGCCGACGATTTAGAATTTGCCACTCTCTGCTCAGAAGTACGTACTCATTGGACTGAGTCTCAAGACATTTTCACTCAGATTTATCAATATCTGTTGGCCATTGCATAAACACTCGCATGGAAGGCACCCCTCAGGGGAATCCTAGAACACCAGCGCAAAGCAACTCGCACGCGCCGGTCTTCGCTCCAATTCATGCAAACCCGATTCATGCACAGATTCAGAAACTCAAGCGGTGGCGTGTTAGGGGCAACTCTTACACGCTTCCTGATGAGCCGCGTCGAGTTGTTTTTTGGTGTAGCACTTGGGGAGTTAATTTGACTTACAGTACATGGTTTGGAAGTACTGTCTCAGCCTAGTCTGGCCGGACCATGTAACCCCCGTCACCCCCGGCGACCCGGGCATTTCTTGGCCCGAGCTTGTTATCTCTTTCATGCTATGGTCCCATAAGATGATGCCGGTCCGCATCAAAGAAGGAAAAAGTTATTTGACTCTGGCATACGATGATCCCAAAGTCCAACTTTTGCCCGTTAAATCTAAGTCACTTAGGGTCCTTGCTGAAAATTTTCGGTGGATTGTTAAGCACATACATACAGGCATGTTCCCGTTCCAAACTTTTTCCATGTTAAGAAGCAAGGCACATCTAGTTTGACTAGGCTAGGTTTTACATCATACCACGAAGGTGGCATTTCCCGACGTCCAACCTTGCCAAACTCAGAAGAAACATACGACTATGTCCATAAAATGTTGATGGCGATGCCACATGACCCTACCATACAGAGATTTTGGCACCAAAGTTGCCCGCTAGCGTACATCCCCCAGAATGGCCACAGTGGCCTGAAGTTCCAAAAGAAAAACAAGACGCATGTTTGCAACATGTGCGATAGGCTTTGCTCCGAGGAAAAGACTTCAATAGTATTTCGCATCCGACTGCCTCCTGAATTAGATGCTTGAATTAGTATTCTGCGTCGGAGCCTTGAAGTACGGCTGGTTGTCTTTTCAGATGTTCGTTCGTCCCAGAGCCATGATGCCGTTCGTTTGTACATTGACAGGGGTGTTTCCATTTCTAGCTCGGACTTTTTCACCCATGACATCCACCAGTACCCGTCACACAATGTGACAACGGATTGAGTGGAAGCGGATACGGACCGCAAGTGCGTGCATTCAAATGGGGGGGTGTATTACTCAAGAGTCTACATTAGTAGCGATGCAACAACCGTTCTTTGTAGGAAAGTTTCAGCGTTGCGATGGCGGAAGCATCTTCCCAGCCTGGCGACGGTGCGCTGCACCACTTGATGACAAGCTTCTCTCTTCATAACCTCGACTTTTGGCATTCGGAGGAAAGCCGTGGAGAGCAAACAAATCTCAAGGGACTTCGGTACTGAGGGAACACCGTTCTCCCCTCCACCATCACCGTCGCTTCCAACTCTCCGGGGCACCGGGCCGTTCCGGCGCCTTTGACCAAACGGTTCTCCATGTCCTTGGCCGCCTGTGAAGTGTGTGAATCGAATCAACCAGCGCGGCGTCGAGCGTTTCGAAGGACGGGCCTCGAGATTGCGCTCCAAGGCCTCCGAGGCCTGTTCAATGTCAAACCTGGCGCGGAGACCAAAGGCGCCGTGGAAGGCGGAGACCAAAGGCCAGTGCGGTAGATCCACAAACGGTGCACCATCCAGTGGTTCACGAATAGGACAGGTTTGGGGAGACCCACCGAAGACTCCCCGCAACTCCACCAGACCTATGAAAACCCGTGTCGTTTCGGCGTCGACGACCCAAAACACATCAGCGCAGAAGCGCGCGCGTTGCGCTGCGTGAGATGCGCGCCTGGTCTGCTCGGGCCTGATCGAACCTGCGTTGAAACTGGTCTGCTCGGGTCTCCACCAAAGAATGCGAAATGTGCCCAACTCTGAGCCCTGGGCTGCCCCTGCTACGCTTCAGCCATAGTACAGCAGCCACTCTGGCTGCCAGGACCTGTCAGGTGCAGAACCGAATGCTGGTCTCAGGGTTAGATGTCTGTTGGGCTTGCAAAATTATACATATATATATATATATAACACACATACTGTAAGCGTCTATATAATATGCTGTCTGTGTGTCTGTGTGTCTGTGTGCCGAACCTTCTCACAATGCCAATGCCGTCGGCTTTCGGTCGATGATCTTTTCTACTTCGCAGCTGCCTCATATTCGTCCCACCCAATCGGATCTGTCAGCAACGGGTGCGGACCGTACTTGGTCAAATAGCCAAAGACATCTTTAGTTCTGCCTCCCTTCTCAATGATGTAGTCATAATATCCACGGTAAGTCTTACCCTTGGTGCTGTCGTAGAAGGGGTCTTCCTCGCCACGCAGCCAACGCACACCC